AGGGCTCAAAAAATAAAATAAAATAAAAAATTTCTTACTTAAAACTTCTTTATAAAATTATTACAGCTTATGACCTCATCAAGTATAAAAATTTTTTCGAAATACCTTACTTTCGTGGCGTTTTCATAAGAAATGCTTTGCCAGTCAGTGGCTCAAATTTTTCTGAATCAGCAACAGTCAATACAAATAATATAGATGGGCTTGGTACTCACTAGATTTTTCAGTGTAAGTAATGCAATTAAGTTAAGTATTGAAATAGTTTCAGTGATTAACAGCCTCCAATTCATGTAATATGATCTTTGAGTTGAAACCGTTGTAAATATAATTATAAGAATATATTCTCAAAGTGCAATTTTTTCACCTATCAAATTGTCTCAGCACATAGCTACGTTCTTGATTTAGTAGAACTTTTAACTTAAAATGAAATTTCAAGTATTGACAAAGGTTATAACAAATTTAAAGTAGGCTAGCAAAAAGGCTTTTTAATAGCACCAACGGAATTCAAAATATTAATTCATTTTTTATCAACGTCTAGCAATCGAACATTATATTTATTAGCATCTAACCAAACAATAATCCTCTTTGAAGTGTCATAACATGTAGTCATACTATTGACTTGAGACTCACAGATTCCGTAGGCCATCTTTTACGCTTTGCTGAGCAAATTTTTAGAAATATTGGTACTCTGAACTTAGGATACTTGTTGCTAAGTTGCTATTTTCAAGATAAACACATTAAGAGTTTAGAGTTATACTTTTAGTTGTGCCTATATGAATAAAGAAAAAATTCTTACCATTTACGTATTTTTCCCTGCAAGAAAAGTGCATCAGTGAATGTACGCTTTGAATTTGAAGCACGAAAGAATTTCTCGGAAAATGTGTCTGCTGACTCTCTTATTATTCACAGTTGAATAATAGAGCTTAATATCATTAATGATGATGTAAATAACTTGTATAAGCACGTATATGAAGTTTAAAGAAATACTAGTTGTGCAGTCAGCGTTTATTATATCATGATGGAGTGCGTACGTACAACACCTTAAGGATCCTGGCAACGAATACGTGCTAAAAGAGTTTCTTTGGTGGAAACTAATTCATGAATACAAACGAGAAAATTTAGAGCTTAAACTATTCTTTTCTGAATAAGATTGGCAATCAGGTAATAGTCACCATGCAGAAATAAGTAATGTTCTTTGTGGTTCCCTCAAAGATGTCAAGAAAATTTTTGTAATTGGAGAACTGAATAAAAGTATGGATGTAGCCTTTGAGGTCCTGACATTTAAGTAAGGAAAAAAAAGATTGAAGACAAGTCAACCAATACAGATAAATTGCTTTCTCAATATAATGCATAGCAGGTACGTATAAATAGAGATATTGGTGAAGAGACAAAAGATGGAAGATAAAGCTTGAACTAATCGCCAACAAGAAGTTCTAAATGCAATAAAGAACAGATTATAAAAGTTCCAGTAGTATAAGCATGGATTCACAAAAGGGGAAACAGGCTGTTTAGCTATCAATTAATCGCTTAATTTACGCAAAAACAACTTATACTACTCGAAAAAGTCACAAATTAGAAAAGTGATGTTGATAAACATTAAATATAAAAATATACAAAGAATCAAATAATATTAGATGACATGAAAAAATTGAAGTATAAGTGATCGCACACACTTAGCCTTTCGATAGCTTCATGAGAATTATAGTATTTTTGTTTTTATTAACATAAGTTTTTAGCTTAAGAATCAGCTTCGCATATACAAAGTTTGTCTGGTCTTTAATACTAGCTCGAAACTTCTCAGGGTCACATTTAATTGACTCATCCCGTAATGAGCTAGCACTTAAATAGAGATCCTAGATTAGAAGTTTAAATGACTGGACACTTAAAAAGAGCGAGCTTTGAAATGTTAAAAGTCTGAGCAACTACTTCGGTTAAATACTTTTTGACAGGAATGGCTCAGGCCAGCGTGAGAAGTGGTCAATAAGATTATAAGGTATCTGAATATATCGCTGCAAGGCAGTGGGCTGAAAATGTCTACGTGGACATGCGTAAATCTGTCATTTGGCTTAACAATTCTCCTCGAGTTACTTTGACATTATGAGAAATTTCGACTTACTGAAAAGCAGAGCACACTTTACCCTGTACCTAATAACTTAATCACCTACCACTACCCAACGCTTGATTGTACGATTAGTGGGTTACTCGTGAGTTTTCCCCCACCCCATTACCACAACCCAAGTGAGAGCTAGAGAGGTGTCCCAGAACTCCCACAGTCTACCTATTTATCAGATTATATCAGAACTTGCATCACTAAGAGGTGTCAGGCAGCAGTGCACCTGACCTGCAGAGATTCTAAGAAAAACCAGTATGTTTATTTTTTTTTTATAATGCCTGCCTAGATATGTTAATACCTGGGACCATTTCCAAGATGCTTTATAACCTAAACTACGAAGCTTAACATAATATGAAATTTCATAAGGATCATAATGACTAGATTCAATATTACTTGCAGAGGCATAAAGGCCTACAGAAAGTGTCATAGCTGTCATGAAATTGGACTGGTGAAACGAATACACATATGCCTCATACACAACCTTAGTCAGTTAGCTAACCCTTATTAGAAAAGTGGCTTTCTTTTACCAGTCAGTGAGTAAAGTAGTTAAATTTAAGTAATAAAGAATATATACCTTTATTTAAGCCAAATTATTTTAAAATACTGTAAATATAAAGGTAATCACGTCAACTGCCCCAGAACTGCTGCAGACGGCCCGCGCGAGCGTAAAACACAACGTCTTCAACTCGTCGTTTTAGTCTCAAAACGTTAATAAAAATATTATCAAAACACGTCAACGTCTCGTACGAAGACCAGCACAGCTCAGATTTTCCCTCAAATACGAGGCGTCGACATACTCTTACGTATTTTTCTTTTATTTTTCTAGTGGTGGCATCCGTTCTTCAAAATTCTGCCTCTATAACGTCAAAAAATTCAAAAGTTAAAAAAACTCGTTATATCTTCATGATTTAAAACTTTTGGCATTTTTTGGACTATCTAGATCAAAAGATTAGACTTTTTTACGTAGATCTCAACAATAAAAGAAAAAGAGTTCTGTATTTTTAAGTCTTCGTTTTCGTTACTTTGCATTTAAGTGATGAACGAGACGGTAGGAGCCACTGTGGCCGCGCTGGCTGCAGGTCCGCCGTGCGCCATCTGCTACCATCTCTGGTTAGATGTAAGCAAATATAACTAACCGTGATGGTTTACACATCGCACGAAACTTGTTGATTGTTGCTTCGTACAACAATGTTTATTATGTTTATAACACAAGTTTATGTTATGATATGTTTAAAGCACTTATAGGTTTCGGTACTATTTTTATTTCTCAATGTAACTTGGTTTTTAAATTTTTTTAAGTAGGTTATGTGATTGCAACAGCTCTTTGTAGTAGCAAATGTGAATATAAATAAACTGCCTTAAAACTTAAAAAATACAATTCTAGTGCAAGAACAATTCCAGGAACATTGAATGATCATAAAAATATCCTCATTATAGATAACAAATAAATGCTACAGGAAACGTCTTTAAGTTATCAGTACGAAATCTTCCCGAAATTAAAAGGATGTAAAACGAGTGTAACTAAAAAGAAGCTAAAAACTGAGTAAAACATTAGTGTTTTTTATTATTGAATACAATTAGAATGTAAATATCAAACGTTTTAAAAACACTCGTTATTATCTATTTATTATTATGAAATTCTTGTATATAGACACAAATTTTATTAAAAAATTTATTTTTTATCCATTGCAAACTCTCGTAAAATAATTATTGCTTACATCTCATATATATATATATATATATATATATATATATATATACATATACATACACACATAGCTGAAAAAACCGTAGCAAATGGCGCACGGTGAACCCGCTGCCAGCGTGGCCACAGCGGCTTGCGCCGTCTCGTTTGTCATTGAAATAGTACGTAAAACGAAAAACTTTTTTTTTTTATTGTTGATATCTAAGTGAAAAAGTATAATCTTTCGATCTAGATAGTCCAAAAAATGCCAAAAGTTAAAGATTTAACGTGTTTTTTTAACTTTTGCAGTTTTCGAAGTTATGGAGACAGAATTTTGAAAAACGAAAACCACCACTGAAAAGCTGAGGAAAAAGTTCGTAAGAGTATGTGCTTTGGTAGTTTTTTTGTTAATGTTTTGAGACCAAAGCGACAAGTTGAAAACGTCGTGTTTTACGCTCGCGTGGGCCATCCACAGCGACGCTGGGGCAGTTGACGTGATTTTCCCCATGTGTATGTATGTGTTATGTACTTGTCAACACAGATTGTTCTTAAACTTAATAATACATAATGTATTGCTGACCAACTATGAAAAGGAGCTTCGCTTTTGTCACCTATTACCAGATTCTGTCGTAGTCATAGTATTAAAAGCTTAAGAAGTTGTCGTTTGCAGAGACCATATCATATAGGCTTTTTAGGTTCGAAATTTTGTCCTAACTTTTCTGCAATAGGGAATTGCTTGTTAAATGTTAAGACAAGATTAGTCTACAATTCATGTTAGAAAATATTTAAAAAATATGTGATATTAAAGTAAAATGCGAAAAAAAAGTATATTTTGCGTATTGATTTTATTATAACCTTTTTTTACTTTTTAATTAGTACACTTGCTACGAGTTGATAATGTTTATTGCTTAATACATATAATAATTGTTACATACAGAATTAAATAAATACGCAAAACAAAAATTGTTTTATGCAAGTTAAAGTCACATTTTTCCTTTGAAAAGTAATCTATGCTTACAAAACTGCGAGATGCTAAATGATTCTTCTGATAAAAACTTGTAAAAGTTATTAGTAGGCAATCTTTATGTTACGACTGTAAAGGTAACGTTATAAGAAAGCTTTCTTCTTCCTTTCTTATTTTTCTTTAAAAAATAAAAATAACAAATATATATTTGTCTTAAAAGTTTTCAAAAATCTTTATTTTAGATGATTCTACATTTGTGATGTACATCGGGGTAGAAAATAATAACTACTTCTCTCAGCTAAAGAACGCATCTGTAATATGGATTGGTACTGATAATGTAAATGTTAGACTGTCAAACACAAGTTCAAATAGTTTCTTTATGATGGTGGATTTATTGTAAGTATTAAAATAATGTATAATAAAACGTTTATTAAAGGTATGTAAGATGCCTATATAATTGTCTTCCGAATGTACAACAAAAAAATTTGTTCCGCTCAATCCACTGTAAAGTCTTTTTTCATTTTACTTTGTTAACCATTGATGCTTACAAAAATAATCGAAAAAAGGTGAAACAAGACTTATTATAAACGACTGATGATTTTGTCATATTATCTAAATTAGCCAATTTACATTTGCTCATTCAGATTGTTTTTGGCTCCGCGAATTTTATAATACGGCTAACAAGAGCATTGTTAATAACTTTTAAAAATTGTTTACAACGTTGCGTTACTTCCAGATAAAATTTATGTAGCAGTAAAAAAAGTTTTTGTTCGTTAACAGATTTAAATACATTGTGATAAGGTTCTAAAAATCTTGAAACTCTATATTAGTTACTGAAAAAGTAATTTTCTTGTCAGTTCTAGATGCACTTTGGGTAATTGCCATATTTCAACAAAGTTAGGACCACAAGTACTCAAGTATGAAATGGATAAGTAAATAATTACTCAAAATACTTCATTTATGACGACGTTAAATCCCCAAGTATTAAGAACTCTTGATTTACAAAATCACTACTACGTACTTGAAGTACTAGGATATTTTGGATGTAGTAAACAAGTAAAAATCTTTAGGTTTTTTTTGTAAGAAGAAAAGAAAAAAAAAATGATTCAGATAACTATTAGTAAGTTGAAAGCTTTTATGGCTATCTAGACTTTATGAAAAAAAGGCGCAAGAGGTCTGAGTTAAAACCCTGTTAAAAAATACTGACGTTATGTATTTTTAAGCTTTTACAAGGCAGATGAGAACCATGGTAAAAAAAAACTACTTGTTTGTTTTTTAAGGTACAATAACAGTATTTTTAGGCAATTTATCTATCTGTAGAAACTATTATTGAGTGGGTAAGAGATAAAGGAAAGAAATAACACCGTAAAAATAGAGATTTGAAATACGTAAAAATTTAGCAATAAGTGCAAGTTGAATGTAATACAATACATTGCAATTTGAAAGTCAGAAATTCACAATTTAATTTTTAAATCATAAGTTATTAATGATGTAATAAAAAACATTATTTTGACTTTGAATAACTGAAAAAAATTTATGCAACGTATTTTCTAAGTAGGTTCTTTCAACATTATTGTATTTATTAGTATAATATTACTAAGATACTACAAAGAATTCAGATGGTAAGCTTTAGCTATTGTTGCATCATACTATACCACAGCAGTCCTTTTTTTATACATGTTACTAATATCTATATAAAATCTGTTTGAAAAACTTTTTTTTTATAATAATGATCAGTATGCGAAAACTTAACAAATTTTTCTTTGAGTTAGAATGAGAACATTATGAATATACACGATAGTTTAAAAAGACAAGGCTTCACTGAAAATCAATGATGTAATTGAGTAGCACACCGTTTTTCTAAGATACATTTTTCAATAAGAACTTATTTTTATGTATGTACAGTCAATTGTGACTGTAAAAGTTTGAAACTAACATTCTTAAGAAAACCAATCTTTCCTATTATTTTATAATTGATTTGTACTCAAGGTGCTGAAACACAAGCGATCGGAAATCTACAACAGCAACTTTCATATTATATTTACTTAATAACCAATTTACTACCAACAAAATAGTGAAAAGGTCAATTTGTGATTAGTTGTTTGAATTTACAAACCTGACTCATTCTACTTGAAGACAAAAGTATACAAACTTTTTTAAAATTTAACTTTACGTGTATGTCACGGACGTGGCTTGACTAAGCCAACCAAGACTGTGCTGAAGCGCATCTGTATGTTGGCACATCAGTGCACAACTGACGACACTATAGAAGTGCACCTAAGAAGGCACTACGGCTTTTCTAGAAAGCAGTCATGGATCAGCAGTTACCATAAAGTCTTGCGAATTCTTCATGGATCAGTTTAAGTACCTGCTCTACTTTCTCAGCAGAGCTACTTATTATAGTAATTCAGCTATTTTTATTCATTTATTAAATACATCAGAATCACCTGATCCCCACTGACAAGAAAATCTTTGAAGTTTCTAGCATATCAAAAGCCTAATTTCGCAACAGTGGTGAGATGTACATCAAGATATTGACTCTAGTAGTCGAGAGTGTATTTTGCGCAAAACTAACCTAGATGTAGACCAGATACATCTATTATTCACTTGAAGAGAATCGGCATTATCATAGGTTACCAATAAGAACGACGTCTCCTGGTTAATCAATACGAATGAAGTTACTTGTTTAAGAAACGATATTAAAGAAAGAAGACAGTGCAAAGCAGTTTAATAGAAAAAAAAAGAATGTAAAAATCTATCAACGAATGCCAAGACATATCCAAGAAGAATGTAAAGATTTGTTGGACACAGAAAATACCCAGCAGCAAAAAGTGTCATCGGGAGCTGTAACACATCAACTTTGGGAGGTGTCACGGAGGTAAAATGTTAGCGCCTATGTGTTGATATACGAGCGCTTAACTGACGGCACAATAGTAGTGCACCTAAGAGAGCAGTTAATACAGCTTCCCTTTGTGGTAGTTGTGGCTCAGTGGTTAGCATTAAGTCTGGCAAATCATTATTTTGTTGGATGGAGCCCCTGTTCTGGCTTTGTAGAGTAGCTATTTACTATAGTAATTCATGTACTTTAATTGACTTATTTAATGTACCACAAAAATCTACTTCCCAGCTGCACAAAAATCCTCCAAGCTTCTTTCATGAGAGAAAGCTAACTTTAGTAACAGTGGTAAAATACTCAGGTTTGACGAATCATTGTTCAGGTAGAGATCCCAGTGGAAGTAACCTGGCGTGATACCATCAAAAAATCAGTAGCTTAGCTGAAAGGCAGCAGTGGCCCAGATCATACAAAAAATAACGTTAGTACTGTTTTATTAATTAGTGACGTAAAGGTTAGTGCATTTTAATAATCGTAATTTTCTCTGCGCCACACCATTACCAAGTGAGATCATGCACCCAGGTCAACACTCTGAGTATTTGATGACATTTTATTTTTCCATAGGCTGAGGGCACTGAACTCATAAGGCACTGCTTTTATAAGTAAGAGGTCTACTAAGGTAAAGTACCCAATTGTGGTCCCCTTACCCCAGTTAATGGTCCATATCTGAATTAACCATTAATAAATAATTGTTAATCAAGTTTAAAGCCTGTAAGTTAATAGTAAATCAAAACATAAGGCATTGAGCAAAGAATTAAATAAATTTTTTCCCGATTATCATAAAATTAGCATGTTTTTCAACGTATTTATTATCGTCATATGCAGTGCATATAGCAAGTCGGTTAAGTTGTGCAGGTTTTAATGCGCTTTTTGTCAACTTTGAAATACAGGTTTAAAATTTTGTATTATGTTTTGTGCAATGTTTTTCATATGAATCGAAAGCTTATAGTTTAAGGATTTGACGTATTACCAAAAAAAAATCGAAAAAATAGAATTTCATTAAAAATTTCGATGGTCCATCAAAAGGTGTCCTTATGGTGAATGTACCCCAATTTTTGGCCCGTCATTACAACGGTCCATAATTACCGGCCCTGTTGCTCAGTCCCACTGTTCAAGCGAAGTACCCCAATTGTGAGAGTGTATTTTTTTTTTAGTTTGCTGGTTACAATGATTTAATCGTCAGTAAATCAGTTTTAAAGTGCTACTGTAAGTATAATTTACCGTCTCAATCACACAATTGACTCAGTGATGATTGTTGTACGATTACTTAATATAAACAGATTTACATAACCCTACTTATGAAGAAGTTGCTAATGCTTTTAAGTTTTCATTAAATTCAAGCCTTTATTGATGATAAAAGTTCAAAAGATGCATGCACACTTTCAATTTTCCTTACTGTTTTTCACAGAGGTACTTATATTTTCAGACAGAAATGGATTCAAAAGATGTTATCAAAGGCTTTAGAGAAAAAATAAAAAAAGAAAAAATTATTGAAACTAAAAAAGGATTGATCGAAGAGAAAAAGAATATTGAAGATGATAAATTTAGATTTAAAATGAAACTTAAAGATATTCAAAAACAGATTCATGATTTGCAGTACGATGTAAAATCTGATAGTTAAATGTATCACGAGAACTTCGTGTAACTGTATACCTAAGTGTTCATTTTTTAAAATTTAATCTAGGTATATTTTGTAACATTACAATTTTACTGTGATATCATAACTTTAATGAATATTTAAAATAAAAGGCTATAATAGTAAATATAAATTACCAAATCTTCATAAAAAGCTCATAATATACTTGCTCTGCGTAAATAATGCGAAAACACACAGCGGTCCAATAATTGGGGTACGCAAGGTCTTTGACATGGAATATGCATGATCCAACAACTGGGATACTTTGCCGTCTGGTCTCAAAAATATGGTCTTAAAGATCTTATTTTTAAAAGCTCATTATTAAATAAATGAGCAAAAATTTTTAGTAAATTTTGTAAAGTTTCATTCAAAAAGGCATTTAAAATGAATTAAACAAATAACTTTTGCATACTATCAGTGTTTTGTGTGTGCAATATTTATTATATTGCTGACCTCAACATTTAGGGGACCACACTTGGGTACTTTACCTTACTGAGCTTGACAAGCTTGTAGCAAATGGCATGTGCTGCATAGTTTTGATATTAGAGTGTTGTCTTTCTTTATCTCTGATGGTCCTAAATCTTATTACATCCCCAGCTCTATCACTTATTATTTGACCATCTGGCATTGCTTCTTCCAAATGGCAGAGCTACCTCCATATTAAAGCCTACTTTTAATTTCTTACTCATAACTAGACATAAGGTCTCTGAGGCTATACATAGTTGGACCTGACGTAGTACGATGGTGGACGGTATCTTTGCTGCTATGCTATGGAGTATCCCTCAGCGTCCACATTTTCCATGGCTTTTTTTATCGTAACTGTCGTGCAGTCTTTTTTTGGAGCACTAAAAGCATTTTCTGTAAATC